GAATTCTTATGTGGACGAGGTTATAAAGAAAGTGAATAAAAGATTGTACTTTTTAGTGCAATTAAAACGGGCGAGAGTTCCACCACAAGATTTAGCGCTGTTCTATACGTCGTGTGTCAGGTCAGTTGTGGATTACGCGATTCCTGCCTTTTACCATTGTCTCCCCCAATATCTGAAGCGTGAGTTAGTGCGTCTCGAGAAAAGAGCTATATCAATTATTATGCCGGAAGTTGACTATCTAACAGGTTTGGAACGATTAGATATTAACAGGGGCGGAGCGAAGACTATCCTTTTCGGAGGGTGCAAGATAACTTTTTGCCGACAAAAGGGCGTGGCTAGCACGTTGTTAGGGCGTGGGTTTTAAGTGATGTATAACGATGAAATCCGAGTAGTAAGATAATTTATTTTTTAAATAGGCGAAATAGTTCCTTAAACTACCTGGTATAAATGTCAAAAAAGCACATCCAATCGTCATCAAACGACCGATTACAAACTAAACACGTCAGTTTCTCTCTCTTCCGTTTGCGTTTTTGCTTGCTACTGTCCATTCTTTTAAATCATCTTCGTATTTCTCATTGTATATAAGACCGTTAGGTGTAATTTCTAAGACCTTTACTGGCTTTACAAAATTATAAAATGAAGCGCAGACGCATCAACAGTCAACACGCACATGTGCTTCGAGTTTCCTATGTATGTATGTATGTAAAACTTTATTTCAATACGCTAACTTCGACAATTATTTACAACTGGTTTCCACGAAGGGCGTATACACACAAAGAGCTAAATGTTAATTATATATAGAACAAAATATGTAAGAATCCCACCCTAAAATTTTATCATCTTCCTCCCAAACCTCCACCCCCTAAACAAGTACCCACCCACCCTCACGCAAAACTAACCCCCCTCCCGCCCACAATCTATATTGTTCTCCCATCATTTGGTCCTGGAGAAATTAGCTTATCATCTGCTTAAATGCAATTTCGCCATTGTTTTAAATGACGTAATTGACTCAGCCGCCTTGACATCTTGTGGGAGGCTATTCCATAGAAGTGCTCCACTGTATCCAAATGTTTTCTTTAGAAATTCCGTTTTCGGTTTTTTTAACGAGAGATCAGTTTCGCTATTGCGTAAATCATAAATATTCTGCGATGCATTTCTCCGAGAAAAAAGATCTTTAAGGTTTGGCTCAGTGTGGTTCCCCAAGACTTTATACATCAATACTAGCTTGTTTTGTTCTCGTCTCCTAGCCAGGGTTTCCCAGCCTAATTTGTTTAGGACTTCAGACGATCTTACATCGTAGTCAGCTCCGGTAATCACCCTTGCTGCTCGATTTTGGAATTTTTGCAATTTGTCTTGAAGTCCCAAACCACAGTTATCCCACAGGGAGAACAGTAATCAAAATGAGGCTGAATTAATGTTTTGTAGACATCATGTAAGGTTTTGTGTGGAACATAGGGTTTTATTCTTTTAATTGCTCCTATTCCAGCGCTAATCTTATGGCATACAGAATCAATATGTTTCTCCCAACTTAATTTTTCATCTAGATTTACACCTAGACATTGAAATGTATTGGTTTGTGGGACTGGGATTTTGTTAATCTCAACGGGTCTAGTTTCCTATTTTATTATTTATATTATGCGTAGATCCAATAAACATGACTTTTGTTTTTTTCCTATGATATTTTAGTTTGTTTTTAGCAAGCCATTTATGAATACTGGAAAGGTCCATATTCAAATTGTCAATCAATGTATCGTAATAATGCGAAGAGGAAGATATCTGAGTGTCGTCGGCATAAAGACATGGGGTTGTCCTTTCTAAAATGTCAGGCATATCATTAATATATAGCAAAAACAATAATGGACTAAGTATGGATCCTTGCGGAATTCCGCATATTATTGTTCTTGCAGAAGAAGTTTGATCATTAACAGAACACACTTGCTTTCTATTCCTTAAGTATGATTGGAACCATTTTAATTCAATGTCGTGAATTCCAAACTGGGTTTTAAGCTTCTTCAATAATATCTCGTGATTCACCGAGTCAAATGCTTTACATATATCAAGAAAAACAACTCCATTTATTTTGCCTTCATCCATGTCTTGTAGCCATTGATCACACATTTGTATAAGAGCACCTGAGGTTCCATGTTTTGGTCTAAACCCGGACTGAAATTTAGACAGAAGCGCATGTTTATTCAAAAAGCTATATATTTGAGTAAAAACTTCCCCTTCAAATATTTTACTTATTATGGTAAGAATTGAAATTGGTCTATAATTTTCGCATTTACGCTTATCCTCAGATTTGTAAATTGGTATAACTCTAGCTAATTTCCACTCATCTATATAAATACCAGTTCTAATCGATAGGTTAAATATAAAAGTTATAGATGGAGCAATAAGGGTTGATGTCAGTTTTAAAATATTCGCAGGTATTCCATCCATACCTGTCGCTTTTGAGACATTTAGTTTTTGTAGGCGTTTGGAAACACTATCTATAGTAATATCTGCGAAGTGAAAATTTTCTTTAGGAAGAAGCACAGTACTTTCATAAATTATTTGATCATTTAAAGCATCAGTGCTTTGACATGCTGATTCAGCAGCCATCTTCATTCCAATATTTATAAAATATTCATTTAATGTTTTAGTAATAGATTTATCATCAGAAATAATATCATCATTTACTTTCAGTTCATTAATATTTGCATTCTTATGCTTTCTTCCTAAGAGCGAATTTATCCAAGCCCATCCACTTTTACTGTCTCCCATTTGAGAGCTTGCCTGGATTTTATCACAAAAGTACTTAGATTTTGCTTTCCGCATGTTTATATTTACTTCATTACGTAGTGTTTTATACAATTCCCACTGTGACTCCGAATCATATTTTATGGCCTTTTTTTTGTGATAGTCCCTTTTTCTCATAAGTTCTTTAATTTGAGGATTAATCCATGGGACAGGGTTATTCCTTATTCGCTTGTGGCGCAGAGGAGCATGTCTATTAAGTGCATCTAATAATAGTGATTTCCAGACTTGCCAACATAAATTGGGATCTCCAAACTGATAGACCATCTCCCAAGGCAATTGAGACACATCCCGAATGAAATCATTTTCGACAAAGTTTTTAAAGTTACGAACCTGACGAATTTTTTGCCTTCCTTTCGGTAGTGTAAATTTTCTCACAGCGTAGACAAGGCTGTGATCTGAAATTCCCAGGTGAATGACACCTGATCTGGAAATATTTTCTGGTCTATTTGTTAATATTAAATCAATTAGTGTAGCTGATTTAGGAGTTAGCCTTGTAGATTCTTTAATAAGTTGGTCTATCTGATACAGAGAACATAAAAATTGCAACTTACATGTGTGAGGGTCAGGTATAGTTTTACTGACATCACAATTTAGATCTCCTATGAGGATTAGCTCTTTATCTTCATTATCACATTTTGCTAAAAAGCTTGCCCAGTAATCAAATATATTCATATGAGAATTTGGTGGTCTATACCATGTGCTTATTAGCAGTGATTTATTGTAGGGTAAACTTAATTCAATGCAGACCATCTCAAGTTCATCAGGGATTAGATCTATTCTATCTGAGAATGATATGTTTTGGCGAACATATCATTCTCAGATAGAATAGATCTAATCCCTGATTTCACAAAATTGCAAGAAAATTTAATACTATTAAATAGCGTATTAGAGTAATAAGTTCTTGGCCAATTTGGCTGAATGTTTGGAAAAGGACCGAGCTTTCAGTCGACATATCCATCTTTTCGATCTCGCATTTTCTACAAATTTTCTACAAACAATCTCATTCCAATCAGGTATTGCCTATTGGCTTGATCCAATTCATTTTGCCGACAACTGATTTATTGTGCCGACGGACACGGCATTGGGGGGATGCGGCACCCCCCGCACCCCCCTTAGCCACGCCCCTGCATGGCTGTGACCATGGCATCGGCATTTCAATGACGAATTGCGGTTACGCCAACATCATTGGAAAATCATAGGAAAAACCAAGAAGTCAAGATTGCGAATTGTTGTAATCCTAGTTATACTAATCATAGCTTTTAATTATTATTTAAAAGCTCCTCAAGGAGAACTTATCAGTCTCTTCTGATTAATAAATATAATATATAATGGGATTTACAGAGGAAATGCTTGTCCATTTCAAGCCACATGCAGGAGTATTTTGATACAACAGATTATTTTGTATCATTAAAGCTATGAGAATTGGTTAGTTTATAACTAGGTAGCACCATAGTAGATTAATGTGGTAACAATATCACAGCAGATTTGATATTACATTTATACCAGTAATTTAAAGACAAAAACTATGTCCAACCACTTAAACAATATTTTCGATTTGACCTTTTCTTACCACACCCTTTCTTATATTCACAATCACCCTAAATTGCTTATAAATACTGCTGGAAGAAAGGAGAGTCATTAATCCAAACATTCAAAATATAAATTTAATAGCAATTTTTGTTCATATGAATAACAAATGTTTTTAACAACTTACAAGTACTACAATAGAAAAAAACAAACATCAATGTTACATAACTGTATCCATAAGCAATTAAGGACTGATTATAGAAAGCATTAGCAACCCCCTGGTTGAATCAATATCAATCAAGCACTGTTGAATGGGCTGGAAAATTTTTACAATACATGGACGATTTCAGCCCAAGGTTAATTATATATATGCATGTGAGTGTCAGGGGCTAGTGAGTTCAACCGGGATGGAATTTCACTTGAATTTTCATTTGGGTTGAAAATTTGTCATGTAATCACAAATTTTATTGGGATTTTATAGTAGTAAAGCAGGGCTGAAATTTCATCCTGGTCAACAGGGCTGAATTTGATTCTAGGCTGTTGCTTGCTAATCCACTATAATTATTACAACTAGAATATATTGATCTGGTTTCTAGTAGGCTCCTAGCCCTTATAATAATATAATATTGTAAATAGCTTAATATATATATACATCTTTTTGGAGGGCAAAATTAAAATAAAAAAAAAAAAAAAAAAATCATGCAAATACTCTTTAACCCATTAAGCTGCATAGCTTCCCGACTGATGAGTAAAATCATCTGGCATTTAGACCAGTAAAAAAATTAAGTGGGGGGAACTGCATCTCAATGGTACGTAACTAGAGACATTGTCATATTTTTGTATAAGTAGGGTGCATTGTGGCTCAATGGGTTAATATCTTTTAATCTTCCAGTTAATAGGTTAAATTTGGAAACATATAATATTTATAATTAACATATAATATTAATTTAATATTAAAGTACATAATTTCTCTCT